TTGTTTTTGTGCATCTGATACCTCTTCTCGTCAACACCTCGTGATCACACCGACTGGTGCGTTTCTTCCATGTGGGCTTTGTTGATTCCCTGCTAGATGGCCACTTGTTTAACTACAAGCCTTTAAGACCCCAGACGCTATATCATTTGAAAGCCAGGCAGGTGGTATGTCCTTTGATTTCCTGACAGCTGCTTCCATGGGCTTCAGCCTGACCTTTGTTTATCATGATGATGTTGACTGGTTCTGAGGATTTTTTGTTTTCTTTAAATTACTCTGTTTTGAGTGCTTAAGGAACCCAGCATATTTCCACAGTGGGTAATCTGATTTAGTTAATAAATATATTTTAACTTGAGTGTCCCTTACCTTATAACAGACATATGTATTATTTTATTTTTAAAAGCTCTGATATTAATAGCCCAAATAGAATTTGGTTAGTTAATAATGACCAATTTTTAAAAATCTTTCTTTCTTTCTTTCTTTTTTTTTAGATATAAGCTATTTGGTGAAAAAGAAGCCAAAATACTAACTGTGAAATACTTGTTATACAGGGTTTTCAGAACCATCCTGTATCGCAAGACATGAAGACAGTTTGTTTAAGGATTTATTTGAAGACTATGAAAGATGGGTGCGTCCCGTGAACCACCTGAATGACAAGATAAAGATAAAGTTTGGCCTGGCTATATCTCAACTAGTGGATGTGGTAGGTGTGCTTCTCATTACCTATTCATTGGAGTGATGGAAGGCCTTTTGTGTGCCCTGACACCTAGGATCTTAAAAGCCAGCCAGACACTGTCCTTGCCCTTAAGGAACGCTCTAGGGAAAAGCAGTGATGTAGCAGACACTGTCGCCCCTTTTGTCTCCTGTGTATTTTGTTTGATCTCATTTCATGACTGTCATAGGTCTGTTAGTGTAGCAAGAAGACCTGTAGCATCGTGGGTGGTGTGCTGGGCTGCTAACTGCAATGTCAGCAATTCGAAACCACTAGCTTCTCCGAGGGAGAAAGATGAGGCTTTCTACTCCTGTAAAGAGTTCCTGTCTCAGAGACCCAAAGGGAGAGTTCTACCCTGTCCTATAGGGTCGCTGTGATTCAGTGAGGTTTTTTTTTAAATTAGTGTTACAACCAAGGAGCCCTTGGTGAAGCCCAGTGGTGAGATGCTCAGCTACTTACCAAAAAGTCGGCTGTTTGAACCCACCGGCCACTCCATAGTGAGAAAGAGGCAGTCAGCTTCTGGATAGATTTAGTCTTGGAAACCCTATGGAGCAGTCCTACTCTGTCCTATAGGATCAATAGGATTCCAAACCAACACATTTAAATATAATTCCAAACCGACAAATTAAAGTATATCAGCCATTTTTTATTGAAGTTTTCTCCTTAAGCATGTTAGAAATTCAATTAGTCAGAATGCTTCAGAGTCATGTTTAAGATTCCAAGAACAGAACTGTAGATTCTTAGAACCAAAAAGTATCCCAGCAGACCACTGCCTCGATACCACACCCGAGACATTTCAGAGATTTTCCCAAGCAGCGTTCTCACGAAGGAGAATAAATTCCCTTGCAATGACGCCTATTGTCAAGAGAGCCTTTCAATTTAAACCAAAAGTTCACACTAATTTTTAAACTAGTTGTTTCTTGTTCTGATCATGTCAATCAATAATTATTTCCCTGCTGTGCTCCCAAAATACTCAACAAGTGTTTACCTATTTTGTTAACAGTCTTTATAAGCGCACCTTTATTTTTTTGACTAGAGAAGCAATGCGTGGTGTTTGTATGGCATTGGGAAGATGTAGAAAAATACAAACGAGAACTGAAGACCCAACTGAAGTCCTGTCACTCTGAAGTGTCTCACATTGACTTTTCTTTCTTGCCAGTTTTTTCTTGTGTGTATGTTGTAAAATTGGAATAATACTTTAGAATGGTTTTCAGGATTGCTTTTTTCCTCTGCTGGGACATGATGGCCAGTTTCCTACTCATTATAAAATCTTTAGATGTAGTTGTAATGGCTACATGATATTCCATTTATCATTTAACTAAACATTCTCTGATTGTTCCCAAATTGTCCTGTCATGAATGACAATGATGAATATATGTATATACAAATGCCTTGAGCATTTCCTTTTCTTAAGAAAGACAGCCAATTAAAGTATATACATTTTTAAAATTTTATAGTTGGTACACATATATGTCAGGTCTGTTAGTACATATCATCTTATTGCTTCCATATTGTCAATATAGATATATTAAAATCTATCTATTTCCCCCTGCAGAAGGGTCTCGGGGAGGAGACGAGCCAGTCAAGGCGTGATGTAGCAACAATGAAAAATATAACTTTCCTCTAGTTTCTAAATGTTTCATCCCCGCTCCCACTATCATGACACTAATTCTACCTTGCAAGTCTGGCTGGACCAGAGGATGTTCACTGGTACAGATAGGAACTGGGAATCCAGGGAATCCAGGGCGGATGATCCCTTCAGGACCAGTGGTGTGAGTGGCAATACTGGGAGGGTAGAGGGAGAGTGGGTTGGAAAGAGGGAACCGATTACAAGGAACTATATGTGACCTCCTCCCTGAGGGACAGACAACAGAAAAGCGGGTGAAGGGAGACGTTGGACAGGCCAAGATATGACAAAATAATAATTTATAAATTATCAAGGGCTCATGAGGGAGGAGTAAGCGGGGAGGGAAGGGAAAAATGAGGACCTGATGCCAGGGGCTTAAGTGGAGAGGAAATGTTTTGAGAATGATGAGGGCAATGAATGTACAAATGCGTTTTACACCATTGATGTATGTATGGATTGTGATAAGAGTTGTATGAGCCCCTAATAAAATGATTAGAAAAAAAAATCTATCCGTGATGTGCTCATCCTTTGGTAGGTAAGATGGGGAGGTTTTAGATGCAATAAAATCGGAGAATAGGAAGGAAGGTAAGCAGGGTTTGCCCTCAAAGATCCCTCTTTCTCCAGCTGAGGCTGAGTGTGGCCGTGCTGAGCTGGGATGACAAAGATCTTGAGGACTGCCATTGCCAAAGAAGGCAGGAGGGGAGAGCTGGCCCTTGCACGGGGTTATAGGGAGTACGGGGTTTGGCACGAGAGAAAGGAAACCTGCATCAATCAGAGGGAACAGTGTTGTCTGGTGGGTGAAGACTGCTGCTAGGAGCTGTTGGGTCAGCTCTGACTTTAGCAGCCCTGTGTACAACAGAACGAAACGCTACCTGGTCCTGGGCCCCCCTCACCACTGTTATGTTTGAGCCCATCGCTGGCAGCCACGGCGTCTGCCCGTCTCATCCAGTCGTGTCTTCTGCTTTATATACATGAAGATGAGCCTTTTTGTTGACCTGCTTAGTTAGAAAGATGAACACTTTGGAAGTCCTGCTAGATAAGAATGACCTCACTGGATGGTGATGAGAAGTGATTGCTGCATGCCTGTCGGCCTTGGCTCCTGGTTCTGCTAGTTGGAGAACTTTTCTTCTCAGCCCAAGCTGCTTATTCTTCAAGGCCAAATCCACTGACAAGACCCGTTATGAAACCTTTCCAGACTGTCTAAGATAGTGTCTTCTCACTGCCACGGAGTCAATTCCCACTCAGCCACAGGGTAGATCCTATAGGATAGGGTGGAACTGTACCTGTGCGTTTCCGAGACTGTCATTCTTTACGGGACTAGAAAGCTCTGTCTGTTTCCCAAGGAGTGACTGGTGGTTTCGAACTGCTGACCTAGCAGATCACAGCTGGCATTCATATGCCCTCACCTTCTATCCTCAAAGTAGAATTGGCTTTATTCCTTTCGTGCAACAGGCATGGCAAGGCACTGAGAAACTCACGTTAGAAAGATCAGCAAGGCAGTAAAATCCATGACCATGTTGGGAACTGAAAGCGATTAGAAGATTGGAAAGCAAGTTAGAAGACTACCTAGAAGAATGAAGAAAACTTGACCATTGGGTTTAGAGAGAAGTGTCAAAGATGATTCCAAATCTTAAAAGGGAAGATGGAGAGCTGCAAGAGCCCCCAATAAAATGACTTATTTTTTTAAAAGGGGAAGAAGAAGACTATTCTAACAGGTGTTTAGTTATCAAGAAAGGGAAGGAAAAGAAGATGAGTTTGATTGTGATTTGAGGCGGTGGCGGGACAATTCAGTAGGCTTTTGGAAAGCTGAAACTGGCTCTCCGGTGAGAGAGAAAGCTAAGGATGTG